TGTGTGTGTGTGTGTGTGTGTGTGTGTGTGCCTAAAGAAAGGTACCAAAAGTCGGATTTTGACCATTTTGAGTTAAGGGATGTACCTTATAGACAATTTAATGCTGAGGACAGGGGTCTTCGAATTTTTTAGATATATCGAGTAGTTTTTTAGATATTGCACATTTAGCGAGGTAGGATATAAAAACAAAATTTTGAGAAAATGAGCTTTTTAGTTTGATAAACGTGAGAACACACAAACTTTCGAAAAACGATTTTTAAAATGTATTTATTTATTGAAAATTCATTTCCCAGTTGCATTCAGTTGACATCAATATCATGAATGGAATTCAATGGTAAAACATAGCAGGGAAGAGAAAGCGTGCTTCAAGAATATATTTTGACACCTTTTAACAGCAGTTTTCATCATTTGTTTTTGTTGTACCCAACCCTCAAAATAATTAAAAACAGAATATTTAGAAGTTAAAGCAATGAAAACTCTTTGAGCGCATTTTAAAAAAAAATTGTCAGATCTATCATTTTTTTTATGGAAACACATTTTGGTCAAAAAAAACAATTTGTGTCATTATCAGCCTGTAGCTCGAAACGGTCGGGGGCGACTTTTTGGTACCTTTCTCTAGGCGCACACACAAATATTTGCATACACGGGTCCCTTTAAAGTAAGACAAAACCAGCAAACGATACAACAATTTAAAAATGACCTAGATGCAGTGTTTCCGTTGGCTCTAGAAATTCCAACGCTTCCTTCACCAAAGACGCCAAGCGGTATCCTAGCAACGACGTGAGCATGAGTAGGTCGGAGATGGTTAGGCCCATCAAGGAAATGTTGATCGTATCCCCGAAACCTTGGCGGATGAATACACACACATTGACGGCGTTGAAGCCGAGTCCAATCAGGCACATGAGGTACGTCATACTGTAAGGTACGTAGCAAAGCCAGTGCAGATCAGCTGTGATCATTGGCGGGGAAACTGCCAGATTTTCTTCAAATGAGAAGTTTAACTGCTTAAAAGGAATCTGCTCCATTTTCGTTGCCCGATGACCGCCAATACAAGTTGAAACTGTATGTTACACCAATTGATTATGTCACTAAATACACAAAGATAAGGAGGATGTACGATGACTTCGGAGCTCCCACAAACTGTTTTAGTAGAGGTTTTATGGGGCTCACAACTGTATAAGGTTGTAAGAGCACCAAGGGGGAGATGTCAACAGAAAATTCCTTAGAGGGAATCAGACTTACTCTTCTCACCTCTCTAGCTTCAACAGCACAAAGTCTGCTTCGACTATCAAGGCACCACGGAAATAGTGGGTCACAACAGACTAAGAAATGCTGAAAAGTTTACTTGTTTTTTGTATAATTATGTGTGTTCTGGTCAGTCGACAACGCACAGCTTTGAGGCATTTTTAAAAAGAAGCATGGTTTCGTTATCCACACAGATTTTTTGTTTCAATTCTGCGTGCTTATTTGAAATTTTCAAAAGGCATGCAACAAAATGAACGACGCCAGACCAATGGCAATGTTGTTGGCACATTTCGAACTATCAACAAATGAAATAAGCCAATTCGTGCTTCCGAATTTTATTTTTAAGTATTATGATCGCCCAGAATATGCCGCAACATTATATTTGTACTGCTACTGATCGGGTATTATCATTGTGAGTCTACTATGTCCAGAGTTTACAGAGAAAGATTCTAATTTCGTCTATAAAACAAAATTAATTTATTATCTTACACAAGACAGGCAACAAAACTCATGCTATGAAATATCAAAATGTGTGTTTCTGTTTTTTGTGTAGCATGATGGTTCAGAATGTGCCCCAACGTTGCCTCTGTTCTGCTGCCGGTCGGTGTTGTATCAATGCGTCGGCTACTTCCTTGAAGAGTTTAGAGAAATTAATTATTATACTGTCACCTAGCAGTGAGAGATTTGTCTTGGTCGTTAACTATGGCTGTAGTACTTACAAAGGTTACGTGCACTCACGCACACGCTCAACAAGACAGGACATTAGTGTCACATTAGTAAATACATGTCTCATGTGCTGGGACAACCTGCTCCGTGAAGCATTCTCTCTCTCTCTCTCTCTCTCTCTCTCTCTCTCTCTCTCTCTCTCTCTCTCTCTTTCTCTCTCTCTCTCTTTCTCTCTTTCTCTCTTTCTCTCTTTCTCTCTCTATCTCTCTCTCTCTCTCTCTCTCTCTCTCTCTCTCTCTCTCCGTCTCTCTCTCTCCGCATGAACAGAATGGTTATCGCTCAGAAAAAGGTTTTGTGCTAAGAAGGTATTTATAAGAAACGTGCTGTAATATCGAAAAGAACAGACAGCCGACTGAGATTAAATTAAGTGCCAATGTACAAATGAATTTGTTGTATATGTGACGAGGATAGATGTCAGTTTTGAAACAACAAATGTAAGCAACAGTTGCGAATATCAGATTTTGTTTGATGAAATTCAGAAAATAAAACGCGTTAAAAAATTTTACATTGCTCATTTTTTTGAACGAATGACTTTAAAAAAAAACATTTTTACTAACGACCGATCGAAAGTCGAGTTATATTATATAAGATAGTTTGAAGAGAACAGATTACAAAACTCCTTCTTTAAAACTCAGGATCACTCAGTTATAGACAACGAAAGATCGTGTCGGTTCGTTAGTGTATTAGCGTAAATAGTATGTAATCCGCAACTTGCACTGTATGTATGCTACCCGGGAAGCCGAGAATGTTTCTGAGTCGTGTCTCAGGCTTGCTTGTATAATATTAGTTGCAAATCGCATATAACATGTCGTAGAACATTAATATGCGCTCTATAAACGCAATTTTTATTTTTTTTATTATTATTATTATTATTATTATTAATATTATTATTATTATTATTATTATTATTATTATTATTATTATTATTATTATTATTATTATTATTTATCACTATCATTATCAATATCGTTATCCTTATCATTATTATCCCATTCCCAGACTCAGCCTCCAAATGTCTCAGATAGACGTACCTATTCTGCCACATGTATATATAAAAATATTCCTAGCGTACAAATAAACCAGAGGTAGGAAGAAACAACTCCTCCGCGTTGTCCTAATTGATTTATGAGTGTGAGAATACAAATAGTGTCTCTGCGTTGACCTAATTGATTTACGAGTGTGAGAATACAAATAGTGTTTACACCTATGTTTTTGAAACTCGCTCTCAGATTCTTAGTTCTATTTTGATATGTTCTCACTATGTAGTTCTTTTTTTAAAAAGTAGATGGCAATATGTACTCGCAAAATATCTTAATCGAAGCTAAGATGACATTCAACTTGACTTAAGCTGTGAAAAGATAAACTGTTATAGCATTCCCGTTTACTGACAACGCTTTCAAAAAAGAAAATAGAGAATAAAATCACATAATAAGCAAGCGCCTGCTCTTAAAACAGAACATGGCTTCTTGTTGAAACGATTAGAACAATTTGTTGGTTTTGATTGTAGAACAACAATTTTCAAACACTACCCCCACAAGGAGAATCCATGAAGATATTGAAATAGCTATAATATTTATATGGGAGGCATCAGGGTGAAATCAGGGGCTCGTCAAAATAATGAAATCAAAGAAACAGGCATTTTCCTTCAGTTTGGCATTTTTATCAAATTCTTGTTGTTGTTGTTTGTAGTTGGGTTTTTTTCGTTGTTATTTTTTTTGTTGGCCCAGCGCCATTACGTCCATATAAAAACGCATTTCCGTGTGCATTGTACTGAAAAATGTTGATTAAGGGCACAAAATAAGTACATTTTTCTTTTTCAAAGACTCTCAAGATCCTATACAATTACCAAACGTTGGCAGCCATTTTCTCATTATTTTTACCTCTGATACCATACCACCCTTTCCTCCTTCAATCGCAAATATTTCGACTTCTATTCAAGATAAATGGATGGGGGGGGGGGGGGGTCTTAGAAAGCAGGGCAAATAAATAAGCTCTCAGATGATACAAATAACTCCACAAAAATTTGGGGGGGGCCCTTTTTTTCCCCCCCGTCCGGGCCCCGATTTTTCCCCCTTCCCCGGGGGGGCCCGCACTCAAATACACGCCCTTTATGTCATTAAACTTCTAGGTTGCTCCGTAAGATTGTCTAAGATTAAATAATAGCTTTCTTGGGGGGG